AATAATCTTACTTATTTAAAAAATACAATTGTTGGCTAAATTAAATTGGGTACTGGATCCCATGCCCAGCTACATATACATAATAGTCTATGTAAAAAAAAAATCACACAGCAATGGTAAAATAGGTACATTTTTTATTTTACATATGTAGAAGATGATGCTCAGAGAAATTATGTGACTTGTTCAGGTTCAAGGAACAAGGAATAAAAGCTTTGGGATTTCAACTCAACTTGTGTGAGACTGAAGCTTGTGTTCTCTGCATTACATGAACAGTGCTGTGCTGCTCGTTGGGAAGGATGGTAACACTGCAAGGAAGAGCCCATGAGTACTTTCAGGCTTGGTTATGGTACCTGAATCTGACCACTCTAATTAGTCAAGCCCTATATTAAAATGGAGCTTACTGGGCTGGGGTTGTGGCTCAGTGGCAGAGCGCTTGCCTAGCACATGTGAGGCACTGCGTTCAATCCTCAGCACCACATAAAAAAAAATAAATTGTGTCCACCGAAAACTAGAAAATAAATATTAAAACAAACAAACAAACAAACAAACAAACAAATAAACAAATAAAGGTATTGTGTCTTTCTACTAATTTTTTTAAATGGAGCCTTATTAAACACCTGTATTTAAATTCTTTATCTCATTTAATTAGATTGCAGCACCCCTCCAATATTTGAAGAGGCAAAAATGTTTTGCCTAATGACAGAATTATGTCGTAAAGATATACTCATAAATCAATGAGTATGAGAAAAGAAAGCACTTAGGGCTTCACCAAAAAGAAAGTGAACAAATCATCTTTGTTTTTTCTTCCAAATATTCTAATGTGGCAGAGAATCTCAAGCATTAATCAAATTCAGTCATTTGCCCTGTAAATGAGTCCACTAATACTTGACAAGGTGGATAGTTGCTAATTGCATCTGTGTTATTGTGTAAGAAAGTTACAGACAGTGTTTGTGTTGACTGCAGGCTTTTGTAGTTAGCTGTGATTTCCAAATGGCACAATGTGACACAGAAATCCTACAAACCATTAGAATATTAATAGTTATAATATGTATTTAAAAATCATCCATTAATGGAAATAGTTTTAGAATTACTCAGTGCCTCTAAGATTATAATAAAGCCAACCCTCCCCTCAACCTCCATTGCTCGTGTGCTAATCCAATCAACATATATATGCATTATCTGAGTAAGTTAACATCAACAATTCAGACTCTGGAAAATATTAAACAAGTGAGCAAGGGCCACAAAGGAAAGCAGAGTAACTTCAAAAATTCTGTAAGTAGAGCAGAATCCAAGAGTGTAAACATTGAGAGTGCTTTTTTATTTTTTATCATACTTTTCAGAACTGTGCTGGGGAGCATGTAATCTGTATTTTAAGTTGAGAAGAGGATAATACACCCAAACCTACCGTGTTGTATTAGTAAGAAACTATAGCAGAAGATAATATGAGACAAAAGTAACAAAGAAATTGTAATAAGGACAAGAGGCTCTCAGGGAGAAAAGCCTCAAGCTGCTCTTAGCTGTGGTGAGTACAGTGCTCTGAGCACAGTAGGGACACAATCAATGCTGCAACCAATGGACTCATGAATGTGGAGTGTCTTGAAATTAATGATAACTTTAACATGTCTGAGGCCTTGAACTTATCTTATAAATTGGTCCTTGGAAGGAATAAAAGAAGAAAAATATTGGGCAATCAGGAAGTAATGAAGATCTTGTAAAAATAGCTATCTACAAAAGCAGGCTAAGTGAGTCCTTGGAAAGTCGGCATATCTGCGAATCAGCAGGTCCAGATGATATACCTTCTATCCGTGGGATGAAAGAAACTGGCAAGCATGCTAACTGCATCATTTACAGTGATTTTTGAAAAACTGTGGGGATCTAGGGAACTACAAGAGATGAAAAGGAAAGAAAATACAATGCTCTACTTATATTTATGAAAAAGATGAAAGTGACCCCCCAGAAATCTCAATAATAATTAAAGTTAAGGAAAAGAAGGGATATTCTAACGGCCTACATAAAGACAACATTTAGAGAATATATTCACCTCCCGATAGAAGCATTTTTAAGATTAAAATTCAAAAGGAGCTTGAATACAACAGAGTTTGAAAAATATTTCAAAGTGAAATGTTTGTTTATTTATAATTGCTTAAGCAAAAATCTTTCTCAAACCTGAACTATGGCTACCTAGGCAAGAAAAATGATTGGAAGATTGTAAATAGTAATTATAAATATGGAGTTATCTTTTCAAAACTGTTAAAGAAATGTGACAGTTTTAAATGTCATTTAAGACTGTAGGTGGAATGACTGTGTATTCTGCCTCATATGAAAACAACACTGCTGTGTGCTGGAAACACAGGAGCCAGGCGGCTTTCTCGACATTACACAAGAAGTATCTAATTAGCACTGGGGCTTATGCATAGTAAACATGAATAATATTGAATATAACTACAGTTATTAATTTACAAAACAATTTTTTTTTACATGGTGGTGGTTATTGGTTTTTCTGTTTGACCTGATCATTGTCTTAATAGCTAGTTTCTGACAGAGATCAAAGGGAGCATTTTAAGTGGTGGGGTAAGAGATGAGACACTGTCCCAGCCCCTTTCTACCACTGCAGAAGTGGTGATTCATCGGCTTCAGTCAGTCCTGTAACCTCTATTTTCCCAACATGTTAAGTTAATAATCTGGATAAATCCTACACTTGATGTGCACATTAAATGTATATAGAGATTTCCTCGTACCCCTACTGCTCCCAGATTTCTATAAGGACCGGCAAATTTTAGCCTTAGTTTTTCATTCTATAGGACTTCCATGTTTTATACTTTGGACTGTGTCGCTCCATGGATCTTCATTTCAGAAATATCCCCATCGTGGATTGAAATTTCTTCTCAGTTGTTGTATGTCCTTCCACTGTTTTGTGCAGCTGTGTCACAGAAGGTGTCTTGGTCTGTAACATCCCATAAGAAGTTACTTTCATTGTTGAGAAAGTGTTCAATATGATTTTCACCTGAGGGATGTATTTCATTTAAATTTCATGAGCATAAACTTTAAATGTTCTAAAATTAAATATTTTTGGAACAGAGATATCCTTAACTGTAGAAAATGACCATTTATATATTGAAATTCATAATACTTTGAGATAATTTAAAACATAATATTAAATAATCAGTGCTTTTATGAAATATTTATATTGCAATTTTTATGATCATAATTTTATTGGTCACAGATAGTACAAAACTTATGATTGGTGTCAAAAAACAAGAAGGGCTATCATTTTCTGAGAGCTCACTATATATTAGGTACTATAATAAATGTTTATAAGAATTCTTAAATTACAAGCAGCCTTGAAAGTTGATCTCATTATTATCAATTTATACATGAAAAGTGTTAAAGTTCTACCTAATTAGAAACCTGAGCTCCTACACTCTATGCTGCTAAAATTCTGCATGATATCCAAGTGTCTCAGAATTAATATCCTGAAATCCACTGTGTCAAGGAGAATCGGAGGAGGTGGAGTATGTTTTCTTCTGAATCTGAAAGGAAAGACCACAAATGAGTTCTTCAGTTCACAGAAAGATAAGAAGATAAATGTAAACATCCATACATCAATGGAATAGAAGTACAAGGATCTGGAATCAAAATGGGGAAAAAGAAAGAGAAAAACCAAAATTTCCAGTGTGCTAGGCTTGGGGGAATATGTTAAATCTTCATCCAATCAGCCATGCAAGGTGGATATAGCCCATTTCCCTGACACGAAAAGGCCATAGAGTGTAAGATGTTTAGCAGATAAAACAGTAGTCTTATTTCATTTTTTTATTAGGAAGACAAACTATTCATATAATATATACAACAACTGTAAGTTTCTGTATGTAACTTTAAATCATAAAAAAGTGGTGTCAGTACTGAGTAAAGAAAGTATGGTCTACATCTTGATTGATATGGACACTGAAGTTCAAGAATCTAAATAAATCTTCAATCGCTTTAAATTTTAATTGTCCTTTTCATAACACCTTATATTTCCATAAGATCAGTTACCCTATAATATTTAAGTCATTTCACTAATATGACCTTTGAAATCTTTAATGACTTCTCACTGGTGAGTTCAATTTTTCAATCTGTCATTCTGGAGACTTCTAGAACTGATTCAGATTTCTTGACTTTGTCTTTCACTGCACACTGCTGAAGGCAGAGGATTTTGTGTCATTTTGCTTGGATGTGAATCCAGGTTTGACCCATGCCTGGCTGTGTGACTTTAGACAGTTATCCTGCCTTCCTGAACTCATCTGTAAAACAATGCTAGCCAATATATACTGAGAATTTTGTGCCAACCATTGCTTCATTATAATATTTAATCTTTACCAAAAACCCTATGGATTTTCTTCCTTTATCAAACATACTAAGAACTGGGGCTTGAAGCAGTTTTGATTAATGGCTGAAGGCACACACAGAGTTAAGAGAAAGACTTATGATTTGAGCAAAAGCTCTTGGTTTCACAGCCTGAATTTTACTGAATTTTGTATATTGATTGCAAGAGCATGGGCATAAAAATGTCTCAAAGAAGCAGATTTCCAGAAAGCAGAACCCTCTGTGCTCATCACTGCTATAACACCTCTCTGGTCTCTGGGTATATGCATGTACAATATGTGTTTCAGAAGAGACTGTTGTTGGAAATATTTGGAAAACCCTCTCACTTCTGCCTATCATTTAGGAGGAGTTATGCCCTCTTTTTATCAAGTGTGTTGTAAAGAGAGAGGAATTGTGCCTGACACTTAACTGAGGTTCAATAAATACATGTTGATTAATTCACTGGATAATAAATTCATATTAGGTCATGTACAAAAGTATTACTCACAGATGGAGTCTGTCAGAGTATCAACCCTTGTAAAGACTCCCAGGGCGTTCAGTCTGCAGTGTCCAGCTCAGTCCAGAGTGACCTATATGAAAGACACTGTTGCTCTCCCTCTTGCATGCATCAAGAGGCAAGGAAAAAAACATATCGAAACAATATCTATTCTAGACTGTTCTAGGCTTTTATATTGGAGTTAAATGTGGTGCCAAGTTGCACAGTCCATCAATAACTCTCTGTTTATGATATAATTGTGTTGCCTCTTTCATTGCTTGCTGATTCATTTATCTTCAATATGTTTCTTAAATATGTCTTTTAAAGCTAAAACAAATTATTTTAGAAGTATGCAAGTTTATACATAGTAGGAGATGAATTATGAAATGCTTGTGAATACCTGCCTTGCTATTGAATCATCAGGCTCCAAGCTGGATCTTCTGAGGACTATGGCTGCTATCTGGAGTCTTCCTCTTTACTCTAAGATCTTGGGAGTGAATATGTATGTCTGAATTTTCTGTGGATTTTAATATAGCTGTCATAATTCTATTAAGAGGGCTGCCCAGATATCTTCTGCCTTATCCTGCACATGCTTCTATTATATTAGTGATAGCTCACCCCATTCAAAATCTTCAATACCCAAGACACAAGATGCAAGGGCTCATTCATTTTGAAACAATTCCCTTACCACTTGGGGATATAAGGTTAACTGCGTTCACAGAAAGTAAATTGTTTTGATCCATAATTTTCAGAAAGACACCATACTATATCTGGATAAGACAAAGCATTTATTTTCCAATCTCACTATTTCCTGTTTCAAATTCAGCTCTACTTGTAAAAAGTAAAACAAAACAAAACAAAACAAAACAAACAAAACAAAACAAAAAACACTGTAAAAGTGTTTAATTTCTCCGTGCCTCAGTTTCCTAATTCTTAAAATGACCTAAAAATTACTATCATAGGATGATGATAAAGATTCATATGAAATGATTCAAGTTATGTTACATTGCTAAATTTGAATTTTCACATTTTCTCATTTTCTTCTTTTTTCTGTTATTTTAATTGGTTGCATATTTTAAATTGTATGAAGATAGACCATGAATCACCAACCACATTTTCTCTGAATGAGTGATAGTAAAAGGACTAGAGGTAGAGAAGGTTAAAAAAAAACAAAAACAGAAAGTGGAATTCTGTCTTCCATATTTAAGAGTGAAAGATTTTGATTTTGCTTATTGTCCTAGAATAAGAATGAGCAGTGGGTACTGGTTAGAAGGAGGCAGATTTTGACCTCATAGTAGGAGGAAAATTGTAATAATTATAGTTTTCCAATCCTTTAATGGTTGGCTCATTGATGAACTTCCCTGCACAAGGCGTAGGGAAGTATTCAAGCAGATCTTCATCTTCCAAGACTCTCTTGTCTTCTGAATAAGGTAAATTTAGATAACACACTTCAAGTGAATCTCAAGGCACACATGCTATATATGAGGGCATTCTGACTAGGATGTACCCCTGGTTTTGATGGGTCTGTTTATGTCTTTCTTTAAACTACATCCTTGATGAAAATGTGATTTTTCTTAGAAAAAAAGACCATTCTTTAGTCAATGGTACATCTAAGGTTCAAGAGCCTACTTAATTCATGTATCAAATTATTTAATATGTTGCAGGTATAATTCTAGATGTGAAGGGTTTTTTTTAAAAAAGACATTTCTTCATTTGGATATTTTTTAAATTGTTTCATTCATTCTTATATTTATTTTATTTATTCATCTAATTATTACTTTTTTTACCCCTGAATGTCCTAAGTTTATTGCAATGTTTTAGGTTCTGGAGCCATGCTGATATATTCAAAAGTTTTACATTTAAGTAAAAGAGACTGACAAAGTTTTACAAATAAACAGAATAATTTTATGTATAATTCTTTCATTTTTTATATTTTAGAAAAACAAAATAAAAACTGAAAAATTATCAGTGCAAACTCCCTTCAAAAGGCAGAGAACAAATCCCTTCTAGACTAAGTCTCTATCAAGTCTGATAGACAGCTGCATGTAGCTTTCCCTTTCCTGTGGCTCAGAAAATGCAACAGTAGATCATTATCTTCAGGACGACTATCTTGGTGGGATCTAAATGATGATAGTTTTATCTGAACCTTCTTCAGTGATCAATATAATTTATACTCAGGTGAGTAAAATCATGTGGCCTAGTCCATCTTCATTCAGGTAGAGTTGTTCTTCTTCTGTGTCTAACAAACATTTATAAAACTGCTATCATTGACAAGGCACAGAACGTCATGGTCACCAGAACTTAGAATTTCAAGGTTTTGAGCATGATAGATGATTTCTGCAGGGTGTCCTTTAGTTATACCCAATTTTTCACCCTTTCAAGTACTTCTCTTATCCACACTTTTCTATGCATCGGAAAATGAATTAAAAGGAATGGGAAAATGAACTACACTAATAATTAGATCTTGTAATTACTGAGTACTGAGTATATGCCAGGCCCAATAGTGTGTGTGTTATACAATTATCTTAGGTGATCTTCATAAAATCACAAGGAAGTGATATTATTATCTCTTCATTAACATTTGAAGAAACTGAGTCACTCCGTCCAGTAATGTGCCTGTGTGCATGCAGCCAGCCAGCCAATGTGTAGCTAGGGTGGGCACTCCCTCCATTACCCTGGGCTAGGCACCTCCTGACTCTTCCCATCTCTGGCATTTGGATAAAAAGAACTGTGGACTTAAAGGATGGCTTTGTGTATCTGCCCTAAAATTGTGTCACTGCAGGTATCTTTAGCTATACGTGTAGCCACACAGCTGTGACAGAGAAGTAGATTTTCAAAGAAGTTATGTTGCAAGTTTTTCTTAAAAAGGTTTTCTTTAATGAATATGCCTTTTTGTCTCACTAGGCTGTCAATTTCTTTCTGATTTTTGTCTCTCTGTTTACCTTAAAGGAGAAATTCTTTCATCTCCCCTGAATTGGCTTAGTAATTTAAAGGAAAAGCTGGCTGATAAATCAGCTTTATAGAGAAAAATGAAATTTCTCTTAATCCAAAGAGAAATTATGTAAAAGTAACTATATGCTGGTTTTAAAAAAAGAAAGAAAAAGAAAAATCATTCTGAGAAGTTATCTGAAAAGAATTCCCAATGTAAATGCTAGGGTGTAAGGCAATTCTAATCTTTGAGGAGAGGCTATCATCATCTGAAGGATTTTGTATTAGTAATGAAACCTAAGAAAATAGAGGTTAGCATTTTACATATAGCAATGTAATTGAGAAAATAAAGGTAGGGAGGGGAGAAGTTAGGAGAAGAGAGAGAGAAAACAATTAATTCTTCAAATAAGAAAGAACCTTTAGCCAAATCATCAATAGTCATTTTAATTCTCATTTGTCATCCTTACTCCAATTACAAATTGCCATTGAAAAGTGACCTCATAAGTGCTTTCCCTGACTACATTATTTTAAATGGCACCTGTATCTTCTTCCTTACCTTTATTATTTAACTAGCAATTATCAATTGCTATTTTTAAAAATATTTAAATCTCTCTCTCCTTATGTGTTTATTGTCAATTTTCCCTATTAGGATATCAGCTTTTGTAACAGAGATGTGTTTTATACACTGCTCAACCCACAACTCCTAAAAATGGTACAAATTAGACATGCTTCATATTTTTGTTGAATGAATAAATGTAAATGAATGTATTGAAACATAAGCATATTTAAGTATTGGAATATTTATTATGTTAACTCAGTGAATTAAACTGGTAATTTAAGTTGCAATGAAGGTTATTTTACACACCCATGTATGTATATTAATTAAAAATCACTATTCCTTTCAAAAATCATCCAAGTGCCAGATTGTTTCATGTGACAGGATATCCATTAAATGAACACAGAAGGGGGCTCAGAAAATGCAGATAGTTTGATCATAGTTTAGAACTCCTAAAACAGGGAGAATAAGAACTATTGATGACATGAAAGGGCTAAAATAACTAGATTGCTTTAATAAAAATTACTTCTATGGTCATCTTGACACCAGGCTTTGTATTTCTTTAGGATGCCCAGGTTTTAGTTACAAAGGGATGAAAGGTAATGGATTTTCATGAAATTTTAAACTTTATTTTATGGTACATACCATATTCTTGTTGCTGGAACTTCTATGTTGCATAAGTCAAAACCAAAAAGATAGCAGCAATACCAACTGATACCAAATACAATGGCATGTTTACTTCCCATCTGTGCCATGTGAAATGTATTATAATAATATTCTTTGGTCTATACTCTTCCTTGCTATGCATTAGTTATATGTTTCCTTGAATGCATTAGTTATATTGGTGTGAATCCTCCAATTCATAATATTTTGGATTCAATTGTTTTTTATTATATCAGTGCTATTATGCAAATTAGTACAAGCTATAAATACAGGGTTTAAAAGAAATGATGCTAAGCCAAGAAGATATTGGTGCTAAAGCAACAGCACATTAAAGGGAAAAGGAACTATAGTTCCTTGTTCTGACGGGAAACAAAATGGAGAGAAGAGTGCTTTGCACAGGGTTCTCCCTGTGTTCCCATGCCTGAAAGAATAAGCCATAAAGAAATTCTTTGAAATGCACAGTCCAAATGCAATAGTGATAAATGAACAAAATGGCAAATGAACAAAATCAAGTGGACACAGCTTTGGGGTGCCTGAGAAAAGGCTACCTCAGCTCTCCTGGGCCCCAGTGTTTTACCATTTCCAGCATACTATCCCTCTAAAGCACTCATGTTGCCTGTCAAGATGATGTACAGGAAAGAGACTTGGGCTTAGGCCAGCCAAGCTGGGGTGGATTTTCTACTCAGTGTTTCTTAGCCATGGGGTTTCATGCAGTGTTCATTTGTAACACTTGGATTATAATGTCTTCCTCACAGGTAGGCTTATTTAGGATAAAATATGAAAATGCTCAGCATAGACTTAAGCCACAACTGCTCCCCATAAATATCAGCTGACTCTGAAGGTACATCCAAAGTAATGGGTGTGTTAAAGGTGGAATACAAAGTAGTCAGACTATCCTTTGTGACAATGGGAATCAGTGATAGTTCCCACATCTGGGTCAATATGTGCATCATTTTAGTGCCTGTGTCAAGAGTAATAGCATTCTTTTCTTTAGTAGAGGCTGCACATTATGACCAACCAGTATGGACTTTAAAGGCAAGGATTTTGAATGTAGGCTTTTGGTTTCTTCTCAATACCACCTAGCAGAGTATTAGATATTTAATGATTATTGATGAAACAAATTTAACTGGATGAGGAAGAAATATGAAGAGACCCTGGGAAACATTTTCATAAATTTTCTGATTTACAGAAGATTTCTATATTCATAGAATTTCAATCATCATAGGCTATGCTGTATTGCAATAGTAAATAACAGCCACATCTTGGTGACTTGCAACCATTTCTTCATCCTCCTGTTATGCATCCATCACAGGTTGGTTGTGGCTTTGCTCCACATTGTCTGTATTCTGGGAGCCAGAATGATGTAATATCCTTTTTCTGAAATATTGCCAGACTTGTAGCAGAGGCACTAAAGTATGGTGGAACTATAGAACAGTTTTAAAACTGTTTTGATGTGTTAAATGCTTTTCTGTGCATATTTCATTGACCAAAAGAAATCATATGTCCATGTCAGATGTAAATTTCTTTTGTTAAATGAGACACTAAGTTATTAAATCTCAAGTCATAGGGAAGTATATTCCACCCTCAGGAGAAGGTAGCCAATGTTTTGACAAATAATAAAGTGTAATACAGAGAGATTAGAGTAGAGCAAGTAGATCAGTGGGAGAAAAAGGAGAGGGAAAGAAAAGGTAGGGGAGATGAAACTGATCAAGGTATGTAATGTGCATGTACAAATATGGCACAATGAATCCCACTATTATGTATAATTATCGTGTACTCATAAAAATAAATTAAAACAAATGAATTATAACATAGTTAATAAAACAAAAATACAAACAAAACTGGAAAGCAAAACTAAGGTAAAAAAATTCCTAAACTATACTCCTGAGCCATAAAGTTGAAATTAAATTAACATGTAAGAATATAATGCATTTTATGTGTGTATATTTTTGAGGATTTATCATGACCCCATATTTATTTTTATTATTAACTCAATGGCTACTATTTTCTTGTACTATTCTTTTACTCTGCCTCATATTACTAAAAGATATCCTCTCTTGAGTTATACTAAGAAAATTCATTTTACAGCCAGGTGTGGTGGCACATACTTGTAATCCCTGTGACTTGGGAGGCTGAGGCAGAAGGATCATGAGTTCAAAGCCAGCCTCAGCAAAACTGAGGCACTAAGCAGCTAAGTGCAACAATGTCTTTAAAGAAAATACAAAATAGGGCCAGGGATGTGACTCAGTGGTTGAATACCCCTGAGTTCAATCCCCAGTACCCACTGAAAAAGAAAAAGAAAACCCATTTTACAAAACCAAATTCTACTGACACTAGTTGACCAGTGTGTTGTCTTGATTGCTGAAGAGAGAACATGAAAACTTCCCCTAGAATATCACACCAATGAACAGTGTTGCCTACCATAGGTGAAGTCTTAAAATCTCTCATTTCATCCTGGTGTCTCCTGGTCAACCATCCCAGAATTGAACAAGTAACTTAAAATGGCATTATGAATCCCACTATTATGTAAATATTAAGTAAATGTTTTTCCATTATAAAAAAATGAACAAGTCATCTTGTTTCTCATTCCTAAGAATCGTGTTCTGTATTCTATTCGGAACTGTCGGCTCATTGTTTGTGCACAGCCCCCCAGTGAACCAGGTAATAATGATGTCACTTGCTTTAGTCTCTCCCATTCAAGCATTGAAATTGTTTTATTGGGGCTGGGGATGTGGCTCAAGCGGTAGTGTGCTCGCCTGGCAAGCATGAGGCCCAGGTTCGATCCTCAGCACCACATACAAACAAAGATGTTGTGTCCGCGGAAAACTAAAAAATAAATAAATATTTTAACAAATTCTCTCTCTCTCTCTCTCTCTCTCTCTCTTAAAAAAAAGAAATTGTTTTATTCTTCCCTCACCCTTTCTGTATTGTTGCTCATTCAATTCTCATAAGGATGCACCATGGCCAATTTCTCTAAATTCCGAGTAACTGTTTCCTCAGAAAATTTCTTCACACTTTATTTTCCTGACATATTCAGTTACAAATACTCAGAAGTTTCCAAATACAGAACATAGAGTTTGAAATTTGAGCCTGAGGGTTGAGAAAACTTTCATTTATCTATATCTGCATGATATGAGATATTGGTTAATTACTTTTCAACTAAGCTCCTAATATTATAGGAACATTATTATTTGAAGTTTTGCTTAATCTTTGCCTACATTTGATTCACATTTTCTTTGCTAAATGCAATACTCAGTATGTCTCCTTCTCCTTCTCCCCCTACCCCTCTTCCTTTCCCCCCTCTCGGCTCTTTCTTCCTCTTCTTCTTTCACCCCTTTCTCCTTCTCCTTTGCCTCCTCCTTCTTTCATTGATAGATGCTGCAGATTGAAAAGCTATTGTAGTTCAATATGGCTGTCTTTCTTGACATTTACATGCATCTCAACTTTATTTATTTCACTGCATAGTATCTGGCTGCCTAGCTGGAGAAATGAAGATCACACATTCAGCAATTTATGCAATCCCAGCCACAAGACTATTTTACTGTCTGTTGAATAATTAGCAATGTGTGTGAAGATAGAATATACAGTAACTTGCCTGACTTTGGGCAAAAAAAGATTAGAATGACAAATAGTCAGACTCTAGGGTCAAATGCTTTGCCAGTAGTTGCATATGTTTATGCCAAAATACATAAAGAAATGTCACTTCAGCACATGAGTGATGACAAACACTCCAAGTGGGGCTGCAGTTCATCAATCATTTCAAATGCACAGATTGGGTTTACCTATATAAACAAAAGCAATAAAACTACTCAAAGCCTCACCTTAAACAATCCAAGCATGACATAAACACTGTTACTGCACAGTCAAGCCCCATTTTACTTGAGAAGCAGTCAGAAACGTCCCACAAACTATGATTTATTAAGATTAATAAAGCACGTCTTTAATAAGAAAAAGTTCTGCTAATATTTTGCATAAATATGAGAATCTCATTCAACATTGTAGTGCATCAGAAAGCATATGCAGCGGGGAGTATGATTAACGAACCTTAAAACCTTAGATTCACAGTCATTCTCAACAAGGTTTCAGGTTCAGAGTGGTGAGCATAAAGAAAGCTTGAAGCAAGAATCCACAACAGGTAAGTTGCTCTAGGCTCGATTTTAATGAGTCATTAAAAATAAGGTGAATTAATAAAACTATTACATGTTTCCAAGCCATTTTTTTTCTCCCCAGGATGCTTTTGAAACATCGATCCTTTGAATGTCTGCTAATGTTTTGTAGGAATGAATACTGTATTATGATCCCTCCTTGGTAAAGAGAAAGCCAAGAGGTTCAAGGCCACAGATCTTGGAGCAGAACTGAACTCAGGAGTTCATCCAAGGTTATATACCGTATCCCTTCTTTGAGGCGGTGAAAAGCTTTCTGTTCAGGGTATAATTGGAACATCAGAATCCTTGTGGCAATATTTTTCTTTCATTTGGCCAGTTTTGTAGATTGAGAGGGGTTTAAAGAATTCAGAGTATATGTAAGCCATATCTTAAATGAACTGCATCACTTATGAGAAGTCATTTTGTTGTCGTGCTTCCTGAGAAGTAGAAACAGAGTAAGTGTGCTTTGAGATACTTCCCTTAGGTGTGAACTGATCTCAGTATTCAAATAGAAAAGTTGATTGAAATGAACTTTCCAAACCCTCCAAAATGACAGAAAAAGTGATATACATCCTTAGAAATTACAAAAGAATGCTACCTTAAAATGACTACAGAATAATTGACTTGCCTAATTGGCTATTCTTATATGCATATTCTGGACCACTTACATTACATACAACAGTGTATTAGCAATCAAAGGCCTAGACATAATGCTTGTTGGCCCCAAATGCATAAACCAATGAAAATTTGCTCGATAAAGACAAATTAAAATCTCCTAGAAATTCAAAGATGAAAGAAGCCCCTTCCGCAATGAACTCAGTCCAATCAGAACAACAACAAAAAATTACTCTTTCCCCTAGAAATTAAAATTGGAGTTGCCATCTGTAAAAGGATCCTTGATTTATGGAAAACTTAGTGTAAACTTTAGCTTTATTACTGTCCAGACTCAAGTCTTCTGAAACTCTTTCTTTCCTAGTGTCAATAGATTTTAATTTAGCTCTTCCCCCCAAATTTATTTATATCAAATTAAAAGAGCAAGAGGACTCTCCTCTTTCTTCACAAATAAGAAAGCAAGTTGAGCAGGTACCTCTCTCTCTCACACACACACACATACACACATATACACTAAAAACAAACCCAAAAACCAAACAAAACAACAAAAAACTGCCTTATAGCAAGTATAGTAGGTATTAATGATCTTTTGAACTGGGTTTCCCTCAAAAGCAGAACCTTTAGGGTTCAGGTAGATTTTGGTGGTGAGGGATCTCAACAAACAGGAATGGGTAAAATGTTTGCAGGGTTTATTAACCTCAGAATATTTGATAATAATTATTCATTAGGAGGCTACACTATTTATTCTAGGATACAGTATCTCTGGCCTCTACTCACTGGATGTCAATAGCTTTCACCTACAAGCTGTGACAACTAAAAATATTTCCTGACAGTGCTGTATATCCCCAGGGGCTAGAGGCACAGAACAAAATAACCTTTGGCTGAAAACCACTAGCATGGATGATACTGGAAGAAGGGAAATTCAACCCAAAGGTCTGTTGTTAAGCCAGTAAGACAACTAGGAGCTGTTTTGCTGGAAACTCTTTAAATGTATATGATTAAATTATGCTCTTTTTTTATCTGAGGAATGGAAGAAGGATGGATTTATCTATCAGGTAACATCTTATAACTGCCATTTGTCAAGGGTCATCCTATTGGGGGGGGTGACTCACATTTGTGCATGTGTCAGAATAGCTTGGTATCCTATAAATCATCAAGAAGATCCAGGTTAAAAAAAAGTAAGGAAATGCTGCTGAGGCCATGGATTTCTAGTGATACATGTGAGGTTGGTTACCACAGTCATGGTTGGAGTAGAAGATGAAGAGAGGGGATATGAAATGGGGTGACCCAAAGACATAGTATGCTGCTTTTTAAGACTTTGGAATTTCCCCCCACTATATGTCCTTAAAGATTAGTGAATATACATTGGTATATGGGTGTAACTGAGGACTTTTTCTCTGTAGAAAACAAGAGTAACAATTACAAGGTCCAAGGAGAAACAAAAAGTATCCATAGGATAAGGATGTGCCAAAAATAGAGACACTGCATTAAAATTAGTATTCACCCTCATCAATGACTTTGGATTTGCCCTTTAATTCATGCATTTAAAATGTATTTAAACTATAATATCAGGTAAGAGAAACACATGGAAATTATGTCAAATTCTTATAGAGTAGTAAAATGTGAGATGCATAAAAATAAGACAAAAAGTATGAAATCCAATTAAAATTTCACAGGAAATTTGCTGCAAGAATATATTTGGCTAAAAAGCCTAATCACAATTTTTCAGATAGAATTTACATTTGTATTTGGATTTTATTTCTTTTTTTAAAGGAGATGTTAGTTTATTAGGTGCATATTTAACTAAATATTATATATTTTTACACTGTCAAAAGATAAGAATATGTGCATATGTAGATATACACATATGTATGCATTTATACACATGCTTAGAATTCCTTTCCACTTTTCATTTAGCTTATTAAAAATGAATACAAACAGATTCTGAGCTCCAGGACCCTCTAAGAGCTTATAGCCTGTAGCAGCTTTCAAGATAACAGCTTCTTCAACCAGAGGAGTTCTGACTTCTCGGTCAGGCTGTTTGAAGTTTCCAAGGCTTGGGGAGAGGGTGGTCTTTTTTAAAAAAGTCAATATTTCAAAGAGAAGACATACCTTTTTTTCCCCCTCTTTAGTGCCAAGATTTGAAAATGCTCTGAAGAGGGGAAAAAAATATCTTCCCTTTAAAATGTAGTGTTTCTCTGAAAGATTCATCCCTCTGCCAGGCTGAATCCAGACGTTATGCCTGCTGAGGCCCTTGTATTCCCAAGCTCTGGGTCATGCCCTGTAACTAGCCACTCTGATTGGGTTCTTCCTATAGCAAACACCTAAAATCAATTGTTTTGAAATATTAGAATGCTTATTTTTTTCAGACATATACAATATATTAGAATGGTACCCATTAATTGGTTAAAGTGGGTTATTTATTCTTAAGCA